GGAAACAAGGCTCATTTTGCCCTTGCCCCGCGGGACTGCTCAGGAGTTCAGAAGTGAGGGCGGCAGTGGTGGCACGCCTTGCTGAACCTCACACCACAGGCATTCGCCCTTCTTCCCACTAGTATTCTTCACTCTTTGCTCACGTGAAGATTGCTGAGCTCCTTGCAAGTGTCGGGTTCTTTGCTGGGTAGCGGGGCTACAGTGGTAAATGAGGCAGATCCGTGCCTGCCCACCAGGGGCCTTCAGTCCATCCAGACATGTAAAAAAGCCACTCACACAATAATGTCCACTGGTGGTCAAGAAATGGTGACTGCTAGTGGTAAGAGATAAAAGGGAAATTTGCTGGTCCTTAATGGTATAAAATCCAGTCTTACAGGTGGATTTCGGTTTCCCCAGTCCGTGAAATGTCATCAGTTCTTCTCTACGTTTCACGGAGGAATCATGGCAATTATGGGTCTAGAATGGCCATAAACTGCAGAATATTGAGGCAGTACTAAGCCCTGGTGCTCAGGCAGGAGGCTCATGACCCCAGCCTTTGATCTACCAGACTGGGGGGCTGATGGATTTTTTTGTGTGTGTGGTTGCTTTTTAGAATAGTAGCCAGCACTCTCAAGAGTGTGCATGTGTGTGTGTGTGTGTGCACGTGTGTGTGTACGTGTGTGTGTGCGCGTGTGTGTGTTCAGTACCTATGAAACTGGGCTCAAGGGCCCTGGGCAAATGTAATGGTGTGTTAGAAATGAGCTTGCCACCAGGCACTGAACCCTCTCCACTTCAAAGATAGAATCACGGGGCAGAACCCTGGGCTCACTCAGGTGCAAAACAAGCAGCTTTTATCAGAATTGCCCAGAACTCCCAGGCATTTGCCCCTGTCTGCTTCCAGGTCTTCCACAGCCACAGGCCATGTTTTCCTATCCCTCCAATGGCTGACCACTCCCCACCAGCTCATTTCGCATGAACCTCCTCCAAAGCCCCTTTCTGAGCTCATGGAAAAGCACCCCAGGTTCATTGCCCCTCTTCTAGCTAGATAAGATACAAGGGTTGCAAAGACAATTGTGGCTACAATCCCCTCTCTGGGCTGAAGTTGTGGCCTCCAAAAGGACAGGACCGTTTTCATAGCCTCAGTCTCTGAATGTGCTGACAGGAAGTGTACATCTCTAAAATCAAGAATGCAATGCAATTAACACACGTCTCCAGGGATTGCACTATCCTCCATCACCGTGTACACAGGGCAGAATGTACAGGCGGCAGCAGTAACTGCCTGGGGTATGCGGAAAGTCAGGAGTGCAGTGAAGCCTGCTTTGGTTTCTAAGTTTTTGCAGTACTTGTTCTTTTGCTTTTTCCTTTACAAAAACCATAATCCTTAAGCCTGGGGACCAAATGACAGGTTCAGAGACTCAATAATTTCCCTGAAATCTTATGCGAAAATTATTGAATCTGTACATGTCATGTGTCTTTTCCTGAGGAGAGGATCCCTATCTTAATTCATCAGAATCCCAAAAGAGTTCAAGACCTGACCAGAAGAAAACCACCAACAACAAAAACTGCCGAGGCTGGGCACAGTGGCTCACGTCCATAATTCCAGCACTTTGGGAGGCCAAGGCGGGTGGATCACCCAAGGTCAGGAGTTCGAGACCAGCCTGACCAGCATGATAAAACCCCATCTCTACTAAAAATACAAAAAATTAGCCAGGCATGGTGGCGGCCTATAATCCCAGCTACTCAGAGGTTGAGGCAGGAGAATTGCTTGAACCCGGGAGGCGGAGGCTGCAGTGAGCCAAGATTGTACCCCTGCACTCCAGCCTGAACAAAGCAAGACTCCATCTCAAAAAACAAACAAACAAAACTGCTGAATAAAATGCTGGGCAGGTCACAGAAATGCAGTCTGGTCCTGAATCATTGACAGATAAAGACCCCAAGGACCAGTGAGGTGAAGTCACATCCTTGCCCAAAGTCATTCAGTCAGTTAATGATAGTCAGCTGAAAACCCAGTCTCCTTAATCCCCATTCCGTGTATTTTTCACTTTTCCACCCCACCCGGATTTCTTGTAGGGCATAATTTTGAGGGTGGGGACCATGTAGCTTATTTCTTTCCAATCTTTGCACTAGGCTTAGGGTGGCACCTTGCTCCGGGTGAGGGACTGTCAGTGCCAGTGACTCATCCAGTGGACTTCATCTTCTCAGGGGCAGAGTTGGCGAAGTTCCCCCCACCTCCCGCAAAGTAGCATGGAGCCAGGGCACATGCGAATGGTAGCAAAGGCAGTGGCCGGACAGGACATCACTTACATCAGTTACTTTCATCCTCCCTTTAGGACAATTCCAATTCCAATTCCAACTTCACACTAAGCCTTCCCAGTTAGGGGGAAAGGAGCATCTCCTAGGAAGCAGGGTGTTAAGGACAGCATGGTTGGGTTTAGGGGTCCAAAGGAGTCTCACTGTACACGGGGACTAACTAGTTCCAAGACCTCCTATAAAGCCAAATCACATAAAGTGAAACTTTCCCTTGAAAATCCTTTAAAATGCCTATGAAGCACAACAAGCAGACACAATCACTCCACAGGACATCCCAGCCAGTCAGCTTTTCCTTCAGGGGAAGAGAGTTCTGTTGCCTCAGCTGAGCAGCAGAGGAAAACATGGATGGCATTTAGGGTTGCACTGGACCAGGGAAACTTATCTTCAGTGTGGTGAGATGCTGCCGTGAGAAGAGACCAGGAAGGGTCGCCGTGCGTACTCGCGCCTCACACTCCCTCCAGACCCCATGTCCCTGTCCGCCTGCTGCACTGCATCACCACACATCAACATATCAGTGTGTGCTCCTCCCACTCCCCACCTCTCAGCTGAGCTCCTATGGTGGACTGCATGAAAATTAAATGGGAGCTTCAGGAATCTCCACCTTAATACCAGCACCTCATTATGAAGCCACCTTGGGCTGCCACTCCCAAACTCCTGACCCACGGAAACTGTGAGATAATAAATGGCTTTTTAAATTTTGTTTGGTTTTGTTTGAGATGGAGTCTGGCACTGTTGCCCGGGCTGGAGTACAATGGCGTGATCTCGGCTCACTGCAAGCTCCGCCTCCCAGGTTCAAGCAATTCTCCTGCCTCAGCCTTCCAAACAGCTGGGATTATAGGTGCCTGCCACCACGCCTGGCTAATTTGGTATATTTTTAGCAGAAATGGGGTTTCACTATATTGTCTAGTCTGGTCTCAAACCCCTGAGCTCCGGTGATCCACCCACCTTGGCCTCCCAAAATGCTGGGATTACAGGCGTGGGCCACGGTGCCCAGCCATTTTTGTTGTTTTAAACTGCTAAATGTAGGGGTAATTTGTTTTGCAGAATACAAGTACAGAATACTAATATAAAGGAGATATCTGGAGAGGCAGGCTAAGGAATGATCCAGTAGGGCAAGTTTTCCAGTGGGGGAGCGATGGGACTGAGTCTGCCATTTAGGAAGTTTCCCTGGTAGCACAGAAGACCCTGCTGTGGAAGGGGCAAGGCTGATGAGAGAATAGTTGACGCCCCACAGACGTTCAGGCAAAAGGACTTACATTACGACAGTGCAGCAGAGACAGAAGGAAGATGAGCTGCGAGAGATATTTCCAAGTAAGAATGGTCAGAGCTTACTGACCAACTGCCTACAAATAATAATATCATTAATGTTAATAGCTAACATGAATTGAAAACTTAATACATACTAAGCACTCTTCTAAGCACCTTACACATATTTACACATTTAATTCTCAAAACAACCTTATGGGTAGGTACTACTGTCTCATTTTATAGATGAGGAAACTGAGACGCAGTAAGATTACGTGGCCTGCCAATGCCATGTAGCTGGTGAGCAGCACAGTCTGGGTTCAAACTTGGGCAGCTGTGCCTTTAAAGTCTCTGTTCTTCCTCTGGAGGGCTCAGAGAGAGAAAGGAGGGAACAGGGGAACAAAAGTAAGCTCTCAGATTTCCAGCCTGGGCAACTAAGTGCAGCCTTACCCAAGGCAGGCCTAGACGACGTGAAAGACATCACTATCACCAGCCACCTACTAATCCCCTGTGAACCTCATAGGAACTGCTTAATGGACTCAACTACAACCCAGCAAGTGAAACATAGAATAACATCCGGACATGGCACCAGGCCCCACTTATACCACACTCCAGTAAAAATAAACCTCCCTGTCCAAATATAGAGTGGTTGGAAATGCCATACTTTACAGGAGAAGAGGCAGTTATTTGGCATTAAAAATAGATAAATTTTGGCTTACTTGAAGATCTGGGCATGAGAGTGCAATTCCCAAATGGAAACACAGATGGATGGGGTGAGCCCCCCTCAAGACTGACTCAGCTATTTCAAGAGCCCAAATAGAAAATTATACCCCCTTTCTGGGACTCAGTTTACTCACCCATAAGACAGAGAGGCTGGACAAAAGATCCAATGTCACATCAAGCTCCAGCCCTCTGCAAGGGTAGGAACTGGAGGCCAAGGCTAGGTCTGAGAGCTGACAACTTCCTAAATCAAGGAGAGCCCCACAGATGCAGGGCGGGTTGGCCCCTCAGTTCACAACTTACTGCTGATAGGATCAGGAGCAGTTTTTCCCAAGGATTTTCAGAACTCTGTCAAGAGCTTTAAATCACCACTTTGAATCAGACACATTGTTAATCCACAAAGAAATGCAAGCCAGGAAGTCCCCCTACAACTAACTTGCCTCCTGAGAGGCTACCCTGATAGAAGGGAGGGGTAGGGGAGTGCGTGCAGGAGAGGCTGCTGGGGTCCTTTCCATCACTGAGTCCCAGCGGCAGCCAGGCCCTTTTGACACATTCCCTTTAATCCTGCAAGGCAGGCACAGTTCTATTTCACACGTGGAAGAACTGAAGGCTCAGAAAGGTTACATAATTTGCCCAGGCTCATTCAGCTAGAGGAGGCGGGAACCGGGTCCAAAGCCTGCATCTTTCCCCCATCACAGGGCCTCTGCTGTGCTGCCTACCGTGTGGTCAGAATCACTCTTCTCAACTCCAGGAGAAGAAAGGAAGTCATGACAAAAGCTGAGAGCCTCCAGGTCACTCAGGCTGGCATCTGAGAAAGCCAGAAGGCTTTCAACTCCTAACTGATCTCCCTGCATTTTTACCACACCTTGAAAAATAAAAGACCTGATTTGCTTTAAATGATTTTATTAAAAATTGTACCAATTGATGGGGGGAAGATATACACACATACACATATATGCATGTGAAGAACATAAACACATAAAGCCAAAGACTCTGTACAGTTTTTAAAAAATGGGGCCCCTTTCTTCTTCCTCTCTCCCAGAGGCAGAGTGCCCAGACCCCAGGGCAGCTGCCCTGGGGATATATTAACTGCTACATTCTCACTGGGTTTCCCCGTGACAGCCCCTGTGGATCCAGGGATGGGGTGGAAGGCTGGGCAATGCACCCAGAGCAGGGAGGGGCGCTGGCCACCTGCAGAGAGAGGGGCAGTGCAGGGCTGGGAGCCTACACGGGGTTCTGAACACCTTCAGCTGGGAGGCTGGCTGGGCACCTATGAGTTCAGCCTTCTCTGCTATTCCCTCAAGACTCAAAGTCCCTACCAGCCCTCAGTCTGCTTAAGGGTGACAGGTGAGCCCCTTCCTGCTAGGGTATCAGGCCAGTATGGCCCACTTCCAAGAGTCCTTGCCTTCACACAGAGCTGTCTCTAGTCCAGACCAGCACTGATTTGCAGAAACCCTCAAGAGCCACAGTCGCCAAAGTCTTCCTGCATCTGCCACTTCCCTTCTCCCTACCCCACCTGCCCACCAAGTCCCTCAAAAAGAAGACAAGTGCTCAGTGGGGTAGCATGCTCCTTGCTGTCCAGGACAGTCACAGTGGCTCCATAGCACTCTTCTTGGGAGGCCCTGGCTGGACTGTCCCAAACAACCCCCAGGTGGGAGCCTCCTGCATGGGGCTAGGCTGCCAGAGGCAATGAGACAGGTCAGCTGGGCCCCTCTGGGCCCTTGAAACAAGCCTGCCACAAAGCTTTGGACATAGACTTACTCCCCCAGGGGCTGGGGAGGTCACTGGGAGGTGATCTTTTTCCACCTCGGATTGAGCAAGAGAAGGCTGCCTGGTGGGGGGAGCGGGGGCAGCCCTCCACTGGCCCAGACTTTGAAAGAGGCCAGGCAGAGGTCAGGCCGAGTCCTCCACCCTCACTGCAGGAGCCCGACGTCTGGCCTGGGGAGTTCCCTCCACCAGATCTGTCGACCAATTTCTAGAAACCCCTGCTTTGGGGTTCTGAATTAGAAGAACTGTTTTGACCCTGAATATCAGGCTTCCCTTCCTCCCAGGAATTTCTTCCAGAGGAAGGAGGTTTCCAGTCCCTCTCCCAACCCCCAACCTCAGCAAGCCACAAAGGCTCTACCGTCTTCAGCTGGTTACAGGTCAGGACCCAGGTCAGACTCTCCCTCCTTCTAAATCTGATTCTCCACCCCTCACTACAGACAGCCAGGCTCCTGGGGGTGGGGGATGGAGTCTGAGAGGGTGGAGGCCAGGGGGAGGGGCAGGTCTCCTGAGGCTAGACTTGAGGAATGTTTAGGCCAACTCACCAGGCAGAGAAGGAAGGGGCCAATCTAGATCACTAAGCCAATTAAAGACAGCCAGCCAGAAAGAATCTTTCTCCTTCCTGCCAGCTACCCTGCCAGCTACCTCCTGGGGTTTTTTTTAGGGGAGGAGGAAGGAGAGGGAAATGTGAGGGGTGTAAATTTTGCCCTGGCTCACTTAAGACAATGAGTGAGTTCCTGACTGCGTAAGATGGAGACAGGGCAGTCAGACCACTTTCCACCTGCCCAGGCTTGATGTTCAGGTGGGTTTGTCAATGTCTGGGCTCCAACTTCAGGCCACAGGGCATCCAGCCTGGGCCCGGCAAGATCTCCCAAGCTGATGGCCTTGCCTCAGCACCATGATCTAAATCATTTTCTCTCTCACCGAGCTCAGGTGGAGAGTCTGCCGAGAGGGGTGAACAGTGGCTAGCCTAAATAATCCCGGTGTTTTGGTGTGTGCCACTGAAACATACAGCAGCAGCCTGCCTGTCACCACCTTGATCCAGGGAAAGGAGATCAGCATATGTCCCATACACATCATGAAATAGGAGGGAGACCCACAGGGAAGGCTGAATTTCACAATGGTCAGTGTGTCCCAGAGCCAGTCTTCACGCTGGTCCCTGGCTCCTTCTCTGCGTAGCAGGAATCCGTCTTCTTAGCAGACAAATCATGGTACACACCCTGAGAACAGAATTCTGACCAAGAAGAGGTAATATCTCCAGAATATCTGAGCAGAACAGAACAAAGGCTTACACGCACAGTTTGAGGCCCTTCTCCTCCAGGGTGCTGTAAGCCCATACAGCACCTTTGTGCAAATTAGGTAAGGCACCCCTTCTTCTCTGGAGAGGTAGCCCCACACCAGGGCACAAAGCTTAGTGAGCAGAATGCTGGCTGAATTCCAGCCTTCATTAGCTCTCCGCAGGTGCCATTGTGCAGTGAACAACCTGCACAACTGTACATCTGGAAGATCAACGTCTCCTTCAATAGTACTGAAGACCTCCTCTCTTCAAAACTAGAAGAGGCTGGGCTTGTTCAGGTTTCAGAGTCTACTCTGGACTCCTCCAATTTCCTTGGATGGCCCTGGAGTCTTCTCTGTCCAGGGAAGCCGTCTTTTCTTTGGGCCTTACTTTACTGTTAGCACCAATGTTGTCTTTTCTCACATATGCAAAGGTTATAATTTATTTGCTAGCGTCTGGTTAACAGATTCCCTGTGTCTGCTATTGGAGCTGCCACACCAGCTGCTTTAGATCCTCTCCATGAGTGCTGCAGCAGGGAGGGAAGGGAAGACATGCAGAGGCAGCCGTGATCCTGCTGGGTTCCAGAGCATGCCCTTCTGGCCTGGCTGGAAGCTGGAGGAAGACAGGAAGTGTGCGCCCAGCTTTGACGGTTCCCCACTCTAATCATTTATCTGTTACTCTAAAAGTCACTTTTCAGCTGGCAAAGCCACTATCCTGGCTTCTTCTGTATCCCACTAGGTGTGAAAAAGGAATAGGGACGAGGGGGAAGAGGTATGTTGTTTCCAAGGAAACCAAGAGGTCTGGGGTCCTCTAGCGCTGACTCTTAAGGTGGGGTGGCCACCACATTTTCCAGCCCCACTGCAAACCTGCCCCCGGATGTCCCACCGTGCTGATACTGGGGGTCGAATGCAATCTGTCGGCAGGGTCTTTTGAAAGAAGAGCTCACAGAGGCACATGCTGCCCAGCTGGTCCCAGGCCGCCAGTGGTGGCAGCGGCTTTGCACCTCAGGACTAATCCCAGGGTCTCCAAGTGGGACTAAGTCACATTTGAGGCCTAGCCAAAAGTTTGGTTCATTTTGCGACATGTTTGAGGGGTCCTTAGAGAAACCCAACCCTCCCTGAGGTCTGCTGGAAGTGACAGGAGTCAGGTAGAAATCCTTGAGCCCTTAGGGCAGGCATTGGCTGGGGCAAGTGAGAACCCAGACAGATGTGGAGCTGGCCGGCCGGCCTAGGGAAGCTGCCATCCTCAACTGGAAAGCCCCTGGCCGAGGCCACGGTGGGTTAAAGCGGTATGACCGTCAGAATCGTGGCCCCCATCCATAGTGGAAGGCCTGTGGGTTTGGTGGAACTAGGATTCTGATCCACTCAATTTCTTAACTGAGTTCCTCTGGAAAAACCACAGTCCACTCCCCAGAGAACACCACTAATGGGTCATCTTCGACAACTGGTAGATTCTCCGGTCGAAGAATCTACTTGTCAGGGCCCTTGGGAATTCCGACCGTCACAGACACATCAGTCTCTCCAACAGTGTTTGACAAAGGCCCCCATTCCCAGTCAAGGGCCTGACAGAGAAAGAAGATCCCACTTGGGTATGTTCTATGTACACACAGAGAGAAATTTAAAAAATAAAAATGCAAAACAACAAAAAAACAAGTTCACAAGACACAGTGTCAGTCTTGCCCGATGTCCTTCCTATTCCAGACGGTGTTCCTGGTGCCCCACGTGAAGAGGGCAGCCCAGCCTCACCTCAGGCCTGCCCCATTCCTGTTCTCTTCTCCATTCAAAGCCAGGTTGTGCAGGAAGAGGAGGACCTGCCACCACACGCGATTTCGGTTCTGCTGGTGCTGAAGGGAGAAAAAAAAGACCAACATAACTCCCGAACACAACCTCAGACGACTCCCTCTCATTTCCAATAAAAGTTCAGAGCTCCAGTCTCAGGGCTGGCACTTTAATCCTATCAGTACAGCTCACGGGGGGCGGGGGGGCGAAAGAGAAGCTGCCATGTGGAGGAGATAGTTGAGTTCTCCAAAAACAATTGCAGTTTTAACATTAAAAAGAAAAGACTGGGCCCTATATGCACTATGCACAAGAGGATTAAGCTTTCCCCCTGCTTGCAGGATTTTCCAGAGTTTAGCCAAGTGCTGCTTTTAATCAGATTGGCTCCCAAGCCCTTCCAACCTCAGCTGCATGAACAACAAACTGGCTTCAGAAAGAGAAGAAGTGCCCCCCTCTCTCCCCCGACTCCAAAGTAACAGAGAACAAGGGGAAAGGGGGGGCCTCCATCTGCAAGTGATTTGACACTGTGAAGGTCAAAGGGTTAATCTTCAATTTAAACCACACTGCTGAGGCAGCAAAAATCTGATTTCATCCAGTGCAAACACGCACACACACTCTCTAACACACACACACACACACACACACACACGCACGCACGCTCTTGTGCGCCCGCCCGCTCTCCCCCCACAGCATCTCCAGCTCGGTGCTGCCCTTTTTATAGATGCTCTTGACAGTAAGCCATAAATAATCCCTCTTGGAGCGCTCTCCTACTGACTGGAGCCAATTAAACGTTAAGCAAGAACATACTTGAAAACAAAACAAAAACAAAGAATATATACTACGCTCTGGAGGTTATCCCAGGTCCTACTGTCAGACTGGGAAGCTAGGGGCGAAGTTCAGGGGTCAGTGGCTCACCAGATTGGGGCTGGTGCCCTGCCCACACAGGTACCATTTCCAGGAGAGGCCTGGGGGGAACTGGGGGGTGCGGGAAGAGGCAGTCTTTGTTCTCTCTTTGTCTGCCAGGGCAGGAGGACTGGGCGGGGCCCTCTCTACAGGGTTCTCAGTGGACAGGAGAAGAAAAACCTAGTGTGCGGAAAGGAGCCAGTACAGGCTGGACTTGGATTACTTCAGTGGCCCCATCAGCAAGCAAGTTTACATGAGGTGTCGGGGGAGCTGGAGCCCTCTCTTAAACTGTCTTTAATCACAGCACCAGCCCCACCAGGCAACTCCTCCTGGTCAGATGGGAAGAGGAGAGAAGAAGCCAGTGGCATAGCTGGAAAGGGGGCCCAGGTTTCCTGGACTTCCAGAGCTTCCAGGTTCCGTCCAGCCTCCCTGACCTTTCTGGGGCAGCATGCAGGTTGCTGGCTTTCCCTTCATGCTGCCCTAGGCCACAAAAAGAGAAGAGAGGCATCCAGGGAGCTGGCCTTGGGGCCTGACAACCCAGGTGAACACAGAATGCCCCCGTCCATGGCAACAGCATTCCTCCTTCCCCAGTGGAAGAGCCTGGAAAACAACCTGGCAAGCTGGAGGCACAGCTCTTGCTCGGAGGGGAAGGGAAATCGGGCGTGCCACAGAAGAAGCCTGGCAGCCAGGGCTGGGGAGATGGATGGCTTCCTCGTGTTTTGTAAACAAAGATGAGTAAAAAGAGGAAACACACCCGGCTTAACAAAATCTGGTTAGAGTAAAACAGCGTGAAAATGGACTCAGCTGCAAACCCGAAGTGAAGCCTCGGGCCTGCGGCAGCTGGGCTAAAGACCCCTTCTCCTCCCCTCCCCAGCTGCTGCTCGGGACAGGTGCAGAGGTCATGCTGCGGAACAGGAGGAGAATCCAGAAGCAGACTCATCCCTGGAGAGGCCAGTCTGCTGGAATTCCAGATCTCCTCAGGTGCTTGTCTGAGAAGACTGGTGGCAAGAACAATCATCACCATAATAGTAACATGGGGTGGGGCAGCAGGGGGGGTTGGGGAGGTGCCAGGCTCTGTTCTGAGTGTTCTGCATCCTTGCTTCTCAAAGTGTGGTCCGTGGACTAGCAGCCTTGACATCATCGGAGAGCTGCCTAGAAACACAGACCCCCTGTAATCCCAGCACTTTGGGAGGCTGAGGTGGGTGGATCACAAGGTCAGGAGTTCGAGACCAGCCTGGCCAACATGGTGAAACCCTGTCTCTACTAAAAATACAAAAATTAGCTGGGTGTGGTGGTGGACGCCTGTAATCCCAGCTACTTGGGAGGCCGAGGTTGCAGTGAGCCAAGATCGCGCCACTGCACTCCAGCCTGGGCCACAGAGCGAGACTCCATCTCAAAAAACAAAAACAAAAGAAACACAGACCCAGCATCTGAAGATTCCTCAGGTGATTTTGAGGCACATTTTCATGCCCATTACTTAGTTATCACATAGCTAGTAGAAGTGACAGGGACTGAACTGAACCTAGACCACCTGGCCCTAGAGCAAAGTCCCTTCTCATGATCACTATGCTGACAGTGCCACTGCCTTTCTTTATACCAAAGCAGACCCTCTATCCTCCCCTTCACTAAATCAACAACTCAATGGCCAAGGAAAGCAGATGAGAATACTATGATTTGGGGCCAGGGCCAATTCCATCTCTGTTTGCCTCAGTTTCTCCCAAATTCCACTAATGGAGGCCACCTGCTGCCTGGGTAACTTGAGATTTCTGAAAACAAGGCACAGACTTCCATCATCTGGGAGTGTTGGGGGGACCCAGAAGCAGCTGTGGGCCACAGAGTACTTTCAGACAGGAAGGCTGAGGTCTTGCAGGGGACCCAGGCAGGCATAGGTGCAGGAGGCAGGGTACATGGGCTGGCCCTTGGGAACAATCTAGTTTCCATGCCTCTGTGTGTGACAGTCCTTAAGGCTCATCAATTGGTAAGGAAGGCTCTATGATGCATGGATCCCCAGGGACCAGGAATCAGAGGACCTGGCTTTAGGGTTGGATCTCCCCCTAACCTGCTCATGAGTTCTCTCTTGGCTTATAAGGAAAATGCAGGTATTGTACCAGATCAATGGTTTTGAAACCCAACTGTGTCACTAAGCCAGCTGACATGCTGTCGTAAGTACAGAGTCTCCAGGCCTCTCCCAGACCCACCGGATCAGGATTTCAAAGAAGGGTACCAGGAATCCATATACTGCACAAGCTCCCTGGGTGACATTTAGAGATCGGAAACCATTTCTTGTATATTTTATATTTTAATCATAAAAGCAATACATGTTAATTGTAGAAATATTGGAAAATACAAGACATTACAGAGGCAGAGATAAGATCACTCATGATCCTACAGCCTAGAAGAAAACGCTTCGTGAGTTGGTGTTTTCTTCAGTCACTGTCCAACTCTTCCCACCAAAGTAATGTCTTACCCCAGTGGCCAAGCCAGAGGTTAATCCAGCCCAGGCAGTTCTTCTGGAAACCACGGAGGTGCTCTCCAAAGCTAAGGAGTCTGCCATCCACAACTACCTTCAGGATTACAACTCAGAGCTCCAACAACTGAATGCTGTCAGCTAGGTGTAGGGCCTGGGAACCACCCGTGGGCCCATGAGCCCTCTCTGGCTACAAGAAGATACCATACAGGCTCCCTTTGGCCTTCTCCTGCCTCAGGGCAGCCCCCACAAGACCCTTTTCCATGAGGAAACCAAGAAAATCAAAGAATGCCCTGATCACAAACAACAATAAATAAATACTTCCTAAAAGTTTAACAAAAGGACCTGACTAAAAAGGAAAGAAAAAGGACTTGAAGGGAGGCCAGTGGGAGAAACAGTGAGGAGGAAGGAAATCAGCCTTCACCGAACAGGATGAAGAACACAAAGACACCAAAACACCAGAGAATGTGGGTCCTTCCACAAGAGGGTATGGAGAAGGGCAGAAGGAAGGGGAAACAGGAATGAATGCGCTTGGCCTCTGACCCACAGGCACCTGGCACAGCACCCAGTGCACAATCTGAGCTCAACAAGGGCAGACCCCCAGAACAAGGCCTGCTCTCCTAGACTCAACTAGGGTACTCCTCACAGAATGAGAGGTCCCAGAATACACAGGGTGACCCAAGGGTAAGGACTGGGATACAGGGGAGAGGGGAAGCTCACCCTAGAGCCCTCAGATTCCCACGGTTTAGAAGGCAGGCCAGCTGGACGCGGTGGCTCACGCCTGTAATCCCAGCACTTTGGGAGGCCGAGGTAAGCAGATCATGAGGTCAGGTGTTCAAGAGTAGCCTGCCCAATATGTTGAAACCCCGTCTCTACTAATAATACAAAAATTAGCCGGGCATGGTGGCACCTGCCTGTAGTCCCAGCTACTCAGGAGGCTGAGGCAGGAGAATCGCTTGAACCCGGGAGGCAGAAGTTGCAGTGAACTGAGATCATGCCACTGCACTCCAGCCTGGGCAACAGAGCAAGACTCCGCCACAAAAGAAGGCAGAGCCAAGGCATGGAGGGAAAGAATAGAGGTGAAGTTCCCCAAGGAAGGCACCCTAACACGGTAAAGAAGAGAACACAAGCAGGCATCAGAGCCCTGTGTGGCTTCTTTAGCTCAGCCTCACTTTCTTGCCATGGTCAGGGGATGAAGGCAGTTGCTGACAAATGTTTCAGTCCTCACCATGTGCAACGCCCTATGCCTGAATGCCCAATTGCTCATCCTGTGTAATGGGGAACATGGAAGGCACATAGTAGGCACTCAACAAGTAAACACTGGACTACAGAGGAGTCAGCCCTGAAAGATAACCCACTTGTCTGAGGCCAGGAACAACTGATGTCTGGCCAGGTCTAAAGATGTACTTTATGTGATAGTATCAGCCTCTCGCCTGGGGAGAGGCCCAACTAGTAAAAGATCTCCTTTTTTTTATTTTTCTAAAGAGCTGGCTGTGGTGTCTGACAAGGTTGGATTACATAAATCAAACTCTGTTTCATCCCACACAGCCTCTGCCCTAAGCACAAAGCGTGTTCCCTACGCTCCCTGGATAAGAATCTCCCTCTGCCTTTCCCCCTTTCAGATCCAATTCACACCCTCTGGGGGCTTTGTGTGTCACCAGTGTTCCAGATGCTCCGGCTAGAACTAATTCACCCCAA